TAAAATATAATTAAATAATCCATTGAATTTTTTCCCCCCATGTCAGCCAACTCATCTTTAGTCACTTCCTGGGAAAGTGAAGAAACTATGTTTACCTATTGCTTCTGCAGTATTTAGTGGTAAACATATTAAACTCTGATCCTACAAAGACAACCACATTTAACTTTTCATACTGTGACACAATTTACCAAAGTCATTGTAATAGCTGGAGATGATCTGCATGCTTGACATACATATGACTTCCTCCTTATGGATCAGCAGTTTAACGAAGAAGAAAGCCACAGAATGACTGTCCAACAGTAAAAGTAGTGTCCTGGAGACTTGACATGAAATTGGTAAATTGGTTATGAAATCTGTAACTGACACTGGCATAAATATCAGCTTCTCGCATGAAATTCCAGAATTTGTTTCAGCTTTGCAAATCCCTCAGTTTTAAGAGGTGACAGAAGTCTTCTAAACCTTGAGTATCCATCTTCCTCAAAATGCCTACGGTGACTCAAAGACAGTATCAACGGAAAAGAAACAGCTGCCACTTTGATTAACACAACAGCATTGCAAAGGACACACTGAATGTGCAAGAGCAAGAGTGGTGATTGATTACTAAAGTCCTTGGGAATTTCTAGCAGTCCTACTACAGAGCATGACAATTTTATTTGTTCTGTTAAGAGAAACACATTTACTACTTCAGTAGTACAATTTAAAATAAACTCTCCAAAAATCAGTTCTCTGATGTAGTCTTTCCATTTTAAGGCTTTAGAGGACACTCTTTGTTGTTAAAAAAAGTCTAAACAGGTACCATCTCCACTAGTCAGACTGAGCAAAAAAAAAAAATTAGGTTTCCATTGCACAAACAAAATAAATGTGAATCCTGTGTACATCAAAACAGAAACACAATCAGAAAATGTTCTTTCAATACAGTTCAGTCTAATTCTACCATGTTTTCAGCAGCCAGCATGAACACGGCCAAACCACGGATTACAAGCAACTTTAATGGAAGCTATTTTTAAGCATACTTTAGACATGATTCATTAGCTCTGTTCCATGCTCCACTTAGGTTTGAAGCCACTCACTCTCACTGTCCTCCTTACTGAAAACTGCATTTATTACATTATTACCCAGTGTTAGTTTAATTCATACTGGTGAGTGAATGATACTTGTTCACTCTGATAACCTAACACAACACCAAGACATGACAGAAAAGTTAAAAAACCTGAAACAACAAAATTTTTTTAATGTAAAATACACACACACACACACATATACCTTTTTCACTGGACCCTCTTATGTATGGCTTGAGGTGAGACATCTTGATGGGTCTTTTCAACCTGGATCCTGTGGCATCTCTTAATATTGCACAGCCATTATCTGTGATATAATCTATAATACAAGGACCAACCCATTCTGACTGGAAACGACCATCTTTCCACCAGTTTTTTCTTTGCCTGAGGACTTCATGACCAACTTTAAGTCGAAGGGTATTTAATTGCTTCGGCTTCCTTTTAATAGTGATTTTGTTTCTGATTTTTTGTTCATCTGAAGTGTTTTTCTCCACCTGCAGAAAGATACATATGAATTACATTTTCTTTTTCCAAATGTAAACACATATTTTCATAACATTGGTTAATAATGCAGAAGCATGACATTAAGCTGTTTTGGATGCATGTAATTCATAATATGTAGGGTTGGAGAGTTCTGAAGAAATGGATTTTATTTTCATAAATTAATAGTCCATAGGCAATGTTTCTCAGCTTCCGTAGACATGCAGCCCTCTAAGACAGATACGAACCTCTTGGCAATAGGTCTCTTAAGGTTACTCCCTCCAAATACATATGAGAATAGGTACAATGGAATGTAGGGATCACAGGCAAAGGAAAAAAAACACCCAAAAAACCAAACCACACAAAACTCCATATTGTTTAAAAGGTTAGTTATACTTTACACTTCAAGCCTTTCCATCTTTTTTATCTTCAGTCTTCTTACTAGTAAAATTTGTATATATTAACATTTACCTGGCAGTCTGAGGTTTTCTCTTCTTCCAGTGCTTGACTGGCTTTTTTAGTTGCTTCAAATATTTTGGCAAACATACTGTATTCTCCTTCGACACATATATTTGTGGGCTCAACAACATGTGGGTTACGATTAAACATTTGGAAATATGGGGTGTTTTGATCTGGTTCCTATGTAAATGGGGAGCAAAAAGTAAGCAAATTTAGCATACAGCTTTGCAGATATTTTGGGGGACTTCAGTTAAAAGAGGAAGAACCTTCACATACCAAATTTGTCAAATTGAAAGCATAGGCAATAGCAGACAAATGTTCATCCCAATTGTTTGGATGATCAGTGCAGTATTTATTAAGGAAAGCTTTGATTGTCTTGCATGTTCTTTCATTTACATCATCTGTCTGAGGATAAGACAATACAATTTGTTTCATGCCAAACACTGCAAACAGTTCTTCATTTATCTTCAAAAGAAAAAGAACACAATTACTGAAGGTTTCCCTCTTCTGTATCACAGTAACTCAGTAGTTTTCCAACCCTTTTGTTGATAATCATAGTGACTGAGCAAAAGTCTTACATACATATTTCAACCAAACAGTCCAGGGTTGAGTGAGAGCTAAAAGGAATCAGTATGGCTTAGGAGACAGTAATTGATGGTTTCTAAACACATTTCTGCCACTAAAATCAATTTGTCATCTCCTCTGTATCATAGTGTCATGATTTCATCATCTCTGAGAGGATCAAAGTGTGAAGAGTTCTTCATAATCACTATAGGCCAATGTCAAAAATACCCTTAGCTATCTGCTATATGGGACAATATGGATGAATGAAATACAGCATGTTAGAGTGTGAAAGCTTGTGCCAGTTCAACTGAGTGACAAAACCCACACTATGACCACCAGGAAATCATTTTGCTTTGTTCTTTATCCAAAGAATAGAACTCAAAGAAACATTGCATAATGTTACAATTGCAAATAATTGTTTTGTCATTTTCTGTATGTGCTAACTTCTTTTTTCTTTTTTTTTTTAATTAAAGATTTACAGTCTTTTTCAAGAATCATCTAAAATTAAAATTTAATACGGGGAAAATATATTTTTTTATTGAAAAGAAAAAAACCAGCCATGTAAAGACTTACCTGATAAACAAGCTCCTTCCCTTGATCAATAGGCATTTTTTGAGGTGGCCCATATACAAAAAACACATTTGTGATTGCCTTAGCAATTTCAGCTGCTGAAGTGTCATGCAGTGGCAAGATAACAGCCCATCTTGTAAACAAATCTGTCATAATTATGATGTACTTGTGGCTTCTGTTGGTAACATTAAAAGGTCCCATTAGGTCTATGGTGACTGCTGTCCACGGGTCCTCTGCTTTGATAGGGTGTGTTTTGGGTGCTGTGGTGGTTGTATTCTTTGCTACTTGGCAGTGCCCGCAAGCATACACCTAGTGCAAAAATCAGGGAAGATGCCATCAATAAAAAGCAATGGTAAAGGTCTAAGACAATCAGCAGGATCACAAATCTCCACTATTCCTCTGCAAGTTAGGTCAGACCAGGCAATGCAAAGCAAATTCATTTTATCATCGTTCTTACTTTTAACCCTTAGATTTTTCAGCCCCAGCATAAGAGACAAACCAAACCAAACAACAGTGAAGGCTGGGAGAAGGACATGCGCAGGAATTCATAGCTGAACTCTCCTCATCCTGAAAGCACTGGGCTCTTTCAAGTCCACAGTATAAATTTTAATAACCATTACCACCTTTAAATACTAAAGGAGTATGAAGCAGCTGGGATTGAAAGAAAGTCCCAGTCATTCCTCTTTTGGTCCTATTGTGTATACTGTGGCTGAAAAACATTGGCAACATACATAATCTTCAATGCATAACATCGATCAGCTTTATCTACAGGACAGAGCCCGTTTGTCCAAGTCTGAATTGGAAGCAAAGACTCATTTTCAGTTCATGTTACTGTTGTGCATGAACTCAGAGTACTCAGGTGATGCAGCAAACTGATAGCAACAGTAATTTGGCCATAGAGGACATTTACATAGTTTCCTCAAGGATCTCATTCTGCCTGGGGATAGACATAAGTGAAGGGTGAAGGAGAAGGAACTTTCCCAAGCAGCAATTTGTTTAGCTATTTCCTGAACATGCCTAATTGTAAGGCAGAGGCACCACTTTCATATTCTTATCTGCCAGCAGCCACTTTGGCCAGATATCCTCAGGATGGTACACTGCATCCTAACAAAGATACAAAAGAGTTTTTGCAAGAGAAACCCCTCTCAAAGACCAGATGTGCCCTGCATACTTAAAGGCAGTATGGCTCCCCACCACTGCATAACACAGAGCAATATGCAAGCCCAGTGGTCAGTAGTAAGAGAAAAAAGAAAAAGGAAACACTATGCTTTGGCAAGAAGAACATTTAAAGTTTGATTGTAAGCTTACGTTTCCTCATCATGAAGCAGTTTGGGCGCTTGTTATATCAAATTCATATGATTACAAAATGTCTGTAACAAAGACTACCTTAAAAAAATCCTGTAGCTATGAGACCATACCCACTGCTTGACGTCATTTGTTACAGAGGTCCAGTAGTAATTAGATTCCACTAAAGTCAGTGTCCTGGATATGCCATGATGAGCGCCAGCAGCATTTTCGTGGCATTTCTCAAGCACTTTTTTCTTCTCTTCATCTGAAACAATTACCAGGCGCATTTGTTTTCTGTCTTTTCCAACATAGAACAATTTATTTTCTGAAAGAAGAAAAGTACCAAATTATATGCAAGTGCTTTGTCTTTTGTTTAGTTTACTAAACCACTGGGTATGACTCACTACAGAATTTATTAAACCGACTTCAATTCACTTCTGTGTAAACGTAGCTTTTTGTTTACAAATACTTTAATTATTTCCTCCAAAGAGCCCATTGTTCACCTATGTTTATTAAACTGGACATGAGGCTTTACAAGGGCAAGTCAGAATGCAAACAATGTTCCCACAGGAAGTGTGACTGAAACACAAGCTAATGCCAGGGGTGGGAAGGGGAGGTAGGATGTGTTATGAGACTTATTGTCCATCTGCCAGCAACTTGACTTCGCAGTTTGTAGCTTTAACTCCTCCCTGCCTTCTCTCTACATAGACGTGGCAGGTTTGATGGGATTGAGAGAGCACAGCAGACTACAAAAGCTCGTATACCTCCTCACAGGGATGCAATAAAGCTGGGAAGGGCTGGGAGGCTTTAAGGTGACAGTTGGCAAAGCCACCCTTGCACTTCTGCCCAGCCACATACACCATCCTCCAGACTGGACCGAGCATTCCTTGTCTACAGCTGCAGATCTGAGTTTCCCTTTCTGTAGTCCTTTGAATTATGGATTGCAATGGCTACATATTTCCTCAGTATCTAGAAAAAGGTTTGGCTTTTAGGTAGATATATAAATCCCTCCTGGAAAGGACTAAAGCAGATTGACTTTCCGTTTCCATAAACATCCTGTTATATATTAACAAGGGTTAAGCAAAGTGTGTGTTTCGTAGAGAATGTGTATTAAAATCACAGTATGCTGCAAAGCAAGATCCCACTTTTTTTTTGTATCAGCAAATCTTCACCTTCACCTAAAAAAAAAAAGAAAATCTATTTTCAGAGTAGTTTGAGAGAATATTTTTACCTTTGAAAACAAATTTTTTGGCTGCTCTCCTGATTCCACTTCTTTCACTTGATAATGTTGTGGGATGATACTCTCCTGTTCGCTTGTAGTATGCAATCTGCTTCAGGTGGAGCCCACCATTTTTTCCACTACGGACCATTGCTAACCTGAACAAAATGCACAGTATTTGTTAGATGGAGCAACTGTCAGACGAGCACATCTTCAATTTTTACTGGTTTCTTTGTACTTCAGAAGTATCCTAATAATGTGGCATCTGAGAGGATGTTACAACACCCAGTGCACTGCTCTCAATATCCCATGCTATCAACTTAATAAGCACAGAGCTTGACACACTACTTTTATTCTATGCGAAGTTGTTTTTGTCAACCTTAAAACTTCCAAACAATGGGAACTTTCCCTATATTCATTGGGGGCGGGGGGTGGAGGGGAAATGAGACCAGAGAGAAAGAAATTGCTCTTCTCATTCTTAAACATTTGGATAGCTCTCAAATGTAGGTGTGCTGGAAATTGGATGTGTCCAAAGAGTCACCATAGTCAGAAAAAAAAGCACATCGACAAACAGGAAAAATGACTCCCCAGACAGACACTGACAGAAATTTATTTTGTTCATTAATTCATCTGACAATTAGATTCTGAAGACCCAAACCGGACTCCACATGTAAGGTAACAATTCATTCCCTGACATGGGCTGACTTCCCTGATCACGTTAATAAACTAAAATGTCGTTAGTAAAATGCGTCATTGGTACAGGAAAAGGTTGGGTCTAGCAAGAATAGCATCAAAATAATTACCAATTAATGACAAGCAGAAATATTCAGAGGAAGAATTATTCATGCGGGCTCTATGCGAGTTCAGTGATATTTTTTTCCAAATCTGCTCCAGTAGCAATGAAGATGTAGATGGAACAGCAGTTTGATCCTGCTGTAATTGACATCTACAAAAGCAGGATCAAGCTTGGGGTCTGCCATGTCATAATTTCTTAAGGAGTGCTGGTTATCCACAGCATTAAGCAAATTTCTTCCTTATCCTGCCAGTGTCCCAAGACTAGACAATGTGACAACACACAGTCTGCTAAAAAGAGTAATCAGTTTGTCTGTCATATCTGCTAAATGGCAGATAATTACAGGGAAGTGACAGAATCCAGTCACTCTGGAATCCTTGATATCTCATTATACATTGATGCTATTTGAAAGCCAAATGTGTACGTCAGGATGTCTATTTTTCAATTTATAGATTCTCACCTACTTTTGCTATACTGGGGGTGGGAAGGACGTAAAGAGCTCTGAAGAGTGATTATGCCTGCTTTTATTTATTCCGTTCCTCCCAGAAAATAAAATTATGTATGTTATTTATAGAATATCATATTCTATGTATACAGCTAGGCTAAACATTGCTGTGTTCCAGGAACTTCACATTCAAACAGTGACAAGATCTTCGCCCCACTGCATACTTCATTTTGCACAACCTAGATGTGACTTTCAAAAACAGCCAAGTCTCTTGTCATACAACATTAGTGTTTTAAAGTAAAATTCTCATACTTGAGAGAACTAGCACACAAACTTTTCACCACTACAATCCTGTCTGCAAGGAAAGAGGGTGTTTGAGAACATGGAAGGAGTGGAGCCAGAATGGAGTACTGCTTCTAGGGATCTGGGCTGGCACAACAGTTTGTTGTAAATGTACATCTGATAGCACAAGCCAAAGCAACCCACTGAGTTGGTAAATCGGGTAACTAACAGCAGAAAGGAAGGTAAAGCTACCATGATAAACTTCATGTTCCTGTTTTAAAGAAGTCGATTAACTAACATTTCTGACAGTAAAAGAGTACTAGTGAAGAGCAATTAAAATATCGTATCTGCCAGGGGCATGCATTTAAGCTTGTTGTGGTTTAACCCCAGCAACTAAGTCAGTCAGCAACTAAGCACCACACAGCCACTCGCTCACCTTCCTTCCTCCCCAGGATAGGGGAGAGAATCAGGAAAAAAAAAAAGTAAAACCTGTGGGCTGAGATAAAGGCAGTTTAAATAGGACAGCAGAGAAAGAGAAAATAATAATAATAAAGAAAACAAGTGATGCACAATGCAATTGCTCACCACCTGCCGACTGATGCCCAGCCAGACCCTGAGCAGCGATCCCCCTGGCCAACTCTCCCCAGTTTAGATACTGAGCATGTGTTGTGGTTTAGCCCCAGCCAGCAACTAAACACCACGCAGCCGCTCCCC